CCCCCCCAAAAAAAAAAAAACACTAATTTCAAAAAATCTATTAAAAAAAATATGTTATTTAAAAAAATAAACTGAACAACATTTGCTTCAACGTTACATCCAAATTCTTTACCAAATTTGAAATAAAAATCAAATACTAAAAATAAATAATAATAATAAAAATTAGAAAAAATAAAACGAGAATGAAATTATTGAGTGGGCGAGCACGGTTTTGACACTGCCATCTTTGGCGATTTTTCATTTTATTCTGGCTGTGGCAAATGCCATGAAAAGTTTTTTATGTGTATCTTACATAATAGAGAATCTATAAATAAAAATTTAAAAAATAATAAATTTTTTCATGCCCCGAAATAAAGGAAAAATAAAAAGTGAAAAGAGAGAAAAAACAAATTAGTGAGTGGGCAAGCAAGTTTTGACACCACTATCTTTGCCGATTTTTCATTTTTTTTTGGCTAAACAGAATGGCTTTAAAATGTAAGGGGGGATACCTTGCATCACAAAGAACGCACAGAAAAACATTCAGAAAAAACTATTAATATTTAGGTTCCAAAATATTTTTTTGCGGAGTCCGAACCCCTCCGGTTTCGGGCCCTGAACGGGGACCCGAATGCCCGAACGTTTGGGGGTCAGCTTAGGGGCCTCGGTACATTCGGCCTGGCAACCCTATATATATATATTTTTTTAATCGATTTTAGTTTTTGATTTTTAAAAAATCTTAAACAAAGTCAGATTCCAAAAAAAACGAAAGGAGTGTAGGGTTTTCCAAGCCCTACACCCCCATATATATACATATTTTTTTTTCGTATTTCTAGGGGGGGGGCGGAATATTGAAAAACAAGGCCGCGAACTGGGCCTCATCGGCCACGGCCGCAGCGGCCTAGGCCGCGGGTGTCACATAGGGCCTAGATTTGGTCATTTCTGTTCCAAGAGCATCTGCCTGACTCTTATGAGTTGTTGTCTTTCAGGGAGCTATACCTCGTAAGCTAAACCGGCTGAGGCTGCCAGGATAACTCCGGTTTGAATTGTGAGGTCCCGGGCCTCTATTTGACCTTGGTAATAATGTGATTTTCTATAAAAAAAATAAAATAAAATGATATTTACGTCTTCTTAAATAAGAAAAACCCGGCTACACACCGTTTTAAATGATGCTAGTGGATGCTGAGCGGCCTAGCTTAGTTGGTAAGGCATTCAAGGGCATTCAGGAGGTCTTGGGTTCAATCTCCAATGACCTCATGTACCTTCCTGGGCATGCTTGGCGCCCACGACCTAGAGATAGCGCCTTGGTCCCCCCAATTAGCATAAGGGGAGGGGTAATCGGGGAGGCACAGTGACTGGCCACTCAGATGATGCTCGGTCACTCTGCTACCGGCTGTCCCCTGGCCGGTGTCCCCCATTTGGGGTTCCCTGAAGGCAATAAGGCCACCCAGTGTCAGATTAGACACAAGATTGAATTTACCTGGGCTGGTTAGTCCGATGATAATACCTCAAGGCCCAAAAAAAAAAAAGAACAAAATCGATGCTATTGGATCCTAGCTCCAGATCGGAGCCCCAAGGCGATCGACTGAAGGAGGCGGTGCGGAACTGGTATTGTGTGTGCGTGTGGAGAGAGAGAGAGAGAGAGAGAGAGAGAGATCTGGGCGTTCCAGATCGGAGTTCCACTTCGCCGAACCGCAGTAGGAGGTGCGCCCATGCGCGAGGTGAAGTGCAAGTAAGCGAGAGAGAGAGAGAGAGGGCATCGTGTGATTCGGGGCGGTCCAGATCTGATTTCCGCTGCGTTTGACCTCAGTAGATGGTATCGTTGGCGCGAGTTGAAGCTGTATTCTCTGAGAGAGAGAGAGAGAGAGAGGTTGTTCGAGATGTGAGTCCCGCATTGTTTGACCACAGGAGGTGTTGCCGTGGGCGTGAGGTCAAGCGCAAGAAAGTGGTACTGGATTAAAGCTCCTGATCGCTCCCTCTCAGCGGCACTGGGTGAAAGTTCCCGATCGCTCCCTTTCTCTTCCGCTTTTTAACGTAGCAAGTGTGTGTCTGTGTGAGGAGATCAAAAGCGAGACGCGTTAACCGAGAAGCGTTCTGTTTGAAGGGTCAGACTCGGGGTATTTGGAAAGGTGTTCGTGGTAGATCTCGCAAAGGGAAGGGATCGCTCCTCAATACCGATCGAGATATGGCGGCTCCTGGCAGCGAGCCTCAGGCCAACGTTCCCGTTAATGATTGGGCGGAGACGCAGGAGCCGAGCATCATCGTCTCTCTGGACTCCGCAAGGAACGTTTCCGCGCGCACTGGTGGCAGGAGCATTGACATCTGTCCGCCGACTGCAGATCTCGGAAGTAGGCAAACTATTCCATGGGGGGATTCGATCGCCGGTCACTCGATTGCGAGTGACTCCGGTCCAGCGGCGACGACGGCGATCGTGCAATACGATGCGGGCATGGCGGCGCCGCCGCCATCATCGCAGCCACGGCTCCTGGGCCAGGTACCGAACTACGGGAACTATCCACCTCAGCAGTTTCCCCGCGCCCAGGGGCCGTTTCCCCCCACCCAGGGGCCGTTTCCCCCCGCCCAGGCGCAGTTTCCGCCCTCCCAGGCACCGTTTCCTGGCGCCCCCCCGGCGCCGTATCCGACGGGAGGGGGCGTTCATGCACCTGTGCCATCGAAATCGACACAGACTACTCCTCTGTGGGAATCTCTCTTGAATATCGTTTGCTTCGCCGTTGTCTTGTTGTTAACCATCATCGTTGTGGCGTTGCTGGGCGGCGGGAAGGAAGAAGAAAGTTATTTCGATACCTTCAAGGTGTACCAGGGTGCAACGTGAGTATCACTTCACTTCACTTCAGCTTTACCCCGCCTCCTCCCCCCCCCCTTCCCTTTCCCCCCTCCCCCGCCCCCTTCTAACTGTTTAATGTAAGTGTCATTTCACTGATGATTCAGCTGATTCGCTACCTGTTGTTCAAGTTGTTGAGCTGAGGACATACTGTAGTTACGATGGGTAGATTTTGTTTCGATGGATTTTCAGTGTTGTAATTAGGCAAATTGCAGAAATACCCGTTCGGTAATGTTCTTACGGCAAATACACCCTCACCGGAAAGACGGTCGGGGAAATGGGTATTGTTGGGATCAAAAAGGGGTATTTCTGGGAATTTTTCTGCCATGAAATGAGGGTGCTATTGTTGCTATCGAAATCATTAAGGTACTTCTGCCATCAACGCTTGCTGTGATGGTATATTTACCGGGAAACATAAAAAAAAGGGGAGATGTCTGCGATTCCCCCTTGTGAGCATTATGGGTACGATATACGTCGGGGTACGTTGAGGGGGGGAGCGTGTGGTAGACTTTGCTGTGCCCACCAACTTGTTTGCCTCGCCGTGATCTCTCCACCGTCCTCTCCGTTTGTTGCTACATCACCTATTTTGCTAGTATTTTTGGAACACTTTCTCCTCAGCCTGGATCTGCCCGTCACGGCCGTCACATTCATATGGAAAAAAGCTCTACTGTGAGTTCTACGCCATACTCTTTACGATCGAGGCCCGGTAAACCGTATCATAATGCAGAGTATATATATATGAGTCGGTGAAACTCCGACGACGAAATAGTTTGTCACAGCCCGTCGTTTGTTGTCCTCTTCTCCTTCTCCTTCTCCCTCCCTCTCTGCCCCCACGGTTTACCGTAGGCAGCTCTGTTTGACGATATATCGTCATACAGTGCATCGGAGCGCGAAGGGAAAAAAAAAAAAAACAGAAATAGAGGGCAATGATACGAACCCTTCTTCCCCTTCTTCTTCTACTTCCGCTTGTTGTTGTTGTTGTTGTTGTTGTTGTTGTTCTTCTTCTTCTTCTTCTTCTTCTTCTTCTTCTTCCTTTTTTTCGTTTTCTTTTTCTTCTTCTTTTTTCCAGTGGTGACCGACGATAAAAGAAAAGATGGCAATGATACGAACGAACACAAGAATCTAAATGTAATCAAGAGTAAACGAAACGGAACCACAACGGAGGGCCCGCAATGGAAAGCCGGGTCTGATCTGGCGCGGTCGGCAAGACAAAAGAACCCGGCAGACTAGCATCAACACGACGTCGAGAGGGGGCAGATGAAGAAGAAGAAGAAGAAGGAAGAAGAAGAAGAAAAAGATGAAGAAGAAGAAGAGGATGAAAACGAAGAAAAGGATGAAGAATAAGAATAAGAATAAGAATAAGAATAATAATAAGAAGAAGTTGAAGAAGAAAACGAAGAAAATGAAGAAGAAGAAGAACAACAACAACAACAAAGAGAATGAAGAAGAAGAAGGGGAGGAAGAAGAAGAAAGAAAAAAAGAACAAATTGCCGAAGAAAAGAAAAAAAAAGAAAAAAAGAACAAATTGCCGAAGAAAAGAAAAAAAAAGACGGTGAAACTCCCGACCAAACAGTTTGCCACAGCCCCTCGTTGGTTGTCCTCTTCTCCCTCCCTCTCTGCCTACGGTTTACCGGGCAGCTCTGTTTGACGATATATATATATATTATATTGATATATATGTGATATATGTGATCCGTATCTTTTTATTTTTCCTTATGCGTATCATTGTTTTTAACTTTTAAGTGAAAAAAAGGGAATAAGATCCATGATCTTTGAATGATGGTATATGGATTAAACTAATTAATAGATGATGATTTACTACTGCCCGGTGATCCGTAGGCAGAGAAGGAGAAGAGGACAACCGACGAGGGGCTGTGAGCCAGTGACAGACTGTTCTGTTAGAATTTCACCGACCGATCGGGAGCTCAGGCTGAAGTCTGTTCAGTCCGCACAGTTCCTAAACCGATCGGTCGGTGAACAGAGTTCAGCCTCCCGATCGGTCCGCAGAGTTCCATGACTGAGCAGAGTTCCGTAACTGATCAACCTTAACCGATCGGGTTGCGGATAGGATCAGCGACTACATATCTTGTAACCGAAGAAATTAAAGAGAAACTGTTAAAAAGGGCAATTTACAACACCAGTACCTGGCCCAGCTATCGGCCACCGGAAGAAAAAACGGAGTAGAAACGTTTCTACTCGGATGAATTTGGACGCTTCTGTAGTGGCCCGTACGTTTCCTAAAGTCGTGGCTTGGTTTACGGGCACGACTTTAGCAAGTAATACTGGTGGTTTGAAATAATAAGGAAAGAAAAGAAAGAAGTGCACAAGCAAAGGCAGAAGAACGGGTATCGGCCACGGGAAAAAAACGGAGTAGAAACGTTTCTACTCGGATGAATTTTGGCGCTTCTGTAGTGGCCCNGCCACGGGAAAAAAACGGAGTAGAAACGTTTCTACTCGGATGAATTTTGGCGCTTCTGTAGTGGCCCGTACTTTTCCTTGGTTTACGGGCACGACTTTAGCAAGTACTACTGGTGGTTTGAAATAATAAGGAAAGGAAAGAAAGAAGTGCACAAGCAAAGGCAGAACAACGGGTCCAGGGTGTGCTACGTGCTCTTTTGTATGAATTGTATTTGGGAAAAGTAGGGCGCAGTCACGGTTTCAGTTTGAAAATGCGCTTCTGAATCAGTCACGATTTCGCGAATGTTGACCCAAAGGGAGGAGTTTCGTGAATGTATACAACCTAGCTTTAGGGTCGGGTGGGGATGTGCTGTATTTGGGGGATGTCTGAATTCGGTTTTAACTTTTAAACTGAAATCGTGACTGCACCCTAGTTACCCCTTTGTATTTTCTTCGATTCCCTCCCCCCCTCTCCCCTCACCCACCCTCTCTTCTTTCGTTTGTTTCTCGAAGTGCGCTCTTTTAATCGATAGATATGTGACAACATATAGTAAATGAGCTTCCAATTCTCTAATTGGACATAATAAATGAATTTATCATTTTACAGAATTTGTGGCTCTTTGACTTTGATGCACCGCTCGTTCACGATTAGGGGTGCGTTGAATTCGAGGGAAGACGGTCGTGGACGTATAGGAGCAGATCTCCCTTGAACGGTGAGCCGATTATAAAGAGCAGAATGGACTAGCAGCGCGCCGAGTGGCCGCCACGGACGTTGACAACCGTCCAGCACGTGGGTTACTGGAACCGCACTTCCATTGCCGCGCTGAGCTCCGAATCAGTTGGCTTTACCCAGACCGAGTCCAAGTGGGTGAATTACCCACTAGGGACGATGCAGAAACTCTTGATAAGCAGGATTTTTTAATATATTTTTTAAAAGATTTTTCCTTTCTAGAACGAACAACTCTTGATAAGCAGACGTGAGTCCGAATCCTGATCAGTCGAATCAGATGAAGGAAAAAACTTTAAAAAAGAAAAAAGGAAAAAAAAATAAAATTGTGGCTTGCCGGAACGGACGCGTTCTGATGAAAAAGTCGTCGGACGATGCAGCAAGTGTCCAGCAGGTGTGGCTTGCCGCCAATGGACTGGTTTCCATTAGAAAAAAGGAAAAAAAAGGGGAGGGAGAGGTCTGGGCGCAAGGCCGCGAGGTGCGGTATATGATATGATCTGTTTGGCGCGGAGGTAACGAACGAAGTCCAGAGTCCATGCGTTGGTATGATGCACGGCGGCGACCGGTCGTCTTCAAAGTCGCCCCCCGCTGCGCTGCACTCCCAGGGGTTCTAGTCGAGGGTATGGATCTGACCATCTGTTTTTGTTCTGGCGGGAAATTGACCGATTTGAACTTGTTGAAGCTAATGATGACTCGGGAACTTTTCTTCTTCTTCTTCTTCTTATACTATTGTTGTTGTTGTTATTATTATTACTATTATTATTATTATTATTATTATGATGATGATGATGATGATGATGATTAATTTATAATATGTCTTTTATTATATAGTTTGGAACATTTGTCGATTGATTATTATTATTATTATTATTATTATGATTATGATGATGATGATTATGATGATTATTATTAATAATTTATAATATGTCTTTTATTATATAGTTTGGAACATTTGTCGATTGATGCCTGTCAATTTTTGTGGTTGGTCATGTCAGGAAGTTTCCCGAGGGAAATCCGATCACTCTATTTCAGGGGTTTTCGTCTGCTCAAGTATTATTATTAGTTTTCTTATTATTATTATCAATGCAAGTTTATCAATGAATTTATCAATGGAAGTTTATCAAGCAATAAATATATCAATGAAGCTAATCAATGAATTAGTTATAACTTATTAGTGATTACGGCTGTGCTTTTACGGCAAGCGCATAGAGTTCGGACTTCATCGGTGACGCGGTCAACGAATCCCAACGAAGCAGAAATCGGTCGGTGGTGGCGCGAAGCACTTGCTGCATGATGGAGGGTCGGTCGGTCGTGGTGGTGCTTGTCTGCTATATATTTGTTATAGCCTTATATTAGGGAAAAGACGGCAATTTGTAAGCGAAGGGCGGGCGATTATTGGAACACGTCAGATCTATAGAAGGAACTGACTAACTTACAACATCATGAAAGGGGAACAAGGAGGGATCCGCTGAATATTGCTCATAATCGGCTGCGTTGACCGAAAAGGCGGCCGGGGAGAGAAATCCATGCGCCTACCGACACATGGAATTCCATTTTCCCTCCTCCTCATGTACTTCTCCGCCGCCATAGTCTTCTGTCACTCTTCCTCTCCTCTTCGTCTTCCTCCTCCTTTCCCCCTCTTCACTCCCTGTTCTCGTCTTCGTTTTCTTCTCCTCGCTTTTCTTTCTCCTTCTTTTCAGGGGCAAGGTCCCACTTTCCCGGGCTGTGTCTTTGGCCGTCGAGAACGGAAAATTCTGCAGCGGGGGGAAATTGCAATATACCGATTTTTTGAAACGTATAGTAGCAACTTTACAGGCGCGCACATGGCGGCACCTTCTTTTGAAACAGAGGACCCGGGTACCTTCTTTTGTAACAGAGTACCGCGCTGTACGCTGTATGTTTGTCGCTGAAGTGGCAGATTTGTAACAGAGGACCCGTCTGCCTGGCCTGAGGCAAGCACTCCAAGGCCGACGGGGTACCTTCTT